TATCGAGGTAAGACGTAAAAAGTGTTTAGGCCGGCCCACCTGTTGTTGAGGCTGTTCCGAGGCAAGGGACTGCCAGTACCAAGGCATCACTTCTCAGTGATACTCATTGTGTGTTTGGCATGCTCTATCCGTTTTCACGGTCTGGCTTACAAAAGGTACTTGCCAGAGTTAACACACGTAATTCCAGAGACTGGGCGACATCGATTTCACTGGCAGGTATGTCATATGTCAGTTAAAATAAATAGGCCGTGGCTACGCGACCCGTGGTTCCGTTACGAGAGCCGCTAGGACTAACGCGTCCGGACATCCATTCTCCACAGTATCTTGCGACACGTACACGCATGATATGGCGCAGACGGGACACTCTGCTGATTGCGAGTGTGGTGTGTGTGTGTGTGAGGAGAACGAGAGAGAGAAGAGAGAGAGAGGGATATGTGTATGTCGTGTGTGTATGCCGTGAAAGAGAGAGAGAGAGAGAGAGAGATGAGAGCTAAGAGGTGTGTGAGAGAGAGATAGACGCATCGCCCTCAGAGAGAGGATGCGAGAGAGTAGAAGAGAGAGCGCTCGCGAGAGAGAGAGCAGAGGAGAGAGCGGCGCGAGCAGGAAAGAGAGCTGTCGCGTGTGTAAGAAGATGGAGAGAGAGAGAGAGATGAGAGCGCGAGAGAGCGAGAGAGGACGGATGAAAGATAGGACGGCAGCGTGCATATATTGTATATTTTCGGCATATCAGCAGAGCGGCCCGCGCTTGCGCAATCATACGGCAAGGCCATTACCGCCAAAACCTATCCTATTTTAATCGCCGCTTAAGGAGGTTCGCGTGATCACGTGTTTAGTGGATGTCCGGGATCGTAGCCTGGGAGGTTAGGCCGACCGGTTCCGGATGGTGTAGCCTTGGAGGCTAGGCGACCGGGCTTTTCCGGGACGGGGGGGCGTTTAGCCACTGGCAAAATTAAATTGTTACTAATACGGCACTACTAATACTACTACTACTACTACTCTTTAGTAATAATTAGTATAGTAGTGTAGACATTCATGGTTATGAGAGGCCTCAGTACTCTATACTAGTATTACTATTAGTATACAAATTACAATGGGAAGTGCGTTGGGTGCGTCTGCCAACAAGATTTTAACCCTAAGTCCCCTACTCATTGAGTCTTGTATACATTAATCTAATGGGATTATTGTATCTAGCTTGGGTGTGTACACACAGGCACTTTGGAGCGTATTCAATAAAATATTAATGCTAAATAAATACGAAACGGTTTACTACAAAGGTCTTATGTTTCTATTACTCTCTTCTCACCTATTATTGCCGACCAATTTCTGTAAATGCCGTCCAAATGCTCATCTACAACAAACAAACTGGGGGGTGCACGCCAAGCGCCATTGCTGCCGCTGCACACGATGAACTGACACTTAAAGGCATAAACAGGGCTTGAAACTAGGGACGGCTCACCCGCTCGCCCGAGGCCATTAGTGTAGAAAACAGGTAAGGCTAGTAGAATGTCTGGGGCACTGACCAGGCCCTGTTCTGGCGAGTGAGAATGCCGACCAGATAAACATAGATTACTAGTACTTTTTCAGCAACTACTAACCCGACCAAACTAGTAATAAGCAATATAAAATTTGCGTGTGCAAACATAAGAAAATTGCAAATAATAAAATCGGTTCCAACCACCATGCTGCTCTATTCACAAGCTCATGCCAATCCCCTCACAGTGTATACGCAATAGCGGCAATACGTTTCTGTTCTACTATATATTCTATATATATATATACTGAATCTATGCTGAATCTGAATTTCTACAAAGTTAAGGAATTTCGCAGCATGTATCTCAGAGCGTCTAAAATCAAAACCCAGATCCCCCCCCCCCTGCAAATGGCAAAATTGTGCTCACTGCGTAGCTTCAGCGCGGCACTTCAGAATAGTACGGGCTGGGAGAAATTTTTAAGGGCTAGTAGATTTTATAGGTCACTAGCCCTGTTGGCTAGTGAACATTTTAGGTTAGTTTCAAGCCCTGCCTCCCCCAGAAATATTTAGAAATTAGACCCCCTTAGATGCGTTTTCTGCACGAGCAGGGGGGGGGGTCCGGACCCCCTAGACCCCCCCCCCTGTACACGCCCCTGGCTTCTCTATGTGATACGTAGTATATAGTCACATGTTCTGACACGTATTGGCAAGTTTTAGAGGTGTGAACGCTATGGATTGTCTGGTGCCCACCCACCACCCTACTACCATATATACTCGCGTAATAACTGCAAATTTGGCCTCAGATTTCAACCCTGTATTTGCTCTGCGGTTTATAAGTGCGCCATACCGTGAGGGGAAATATACTAGGTGCAATACTTGGTTACCCGATTCAAATTGAGATGCGGCTTATAGGCGCCCGCGGTTATTACGCGATCATATACGGTATGTTAATATGCCTGTTTGAAATTGAATATATTCTTTAACCTTTTCATGAGAAGTATAATTGTACGAATAAACTTTATGCAAAAAGTACTAACCAATAACACAATAAATGCATCCTCAGTTTACTCTGAACCAAGATTTTTTGTAAACCAACAAAATATAGTAAAATAGAAGTGATCTAAACAAAACTCAAGATCATTAGGTTCATGACATCTGACATCTACATAGTGTGTGTGTGTGTGTGTGTTCTTGCAGTATTGCCCCGGTGTGGAGCTGTATGACTACATCGTGTGTGTGTGTGTGTGTTCTTGCAGTACTGCCCCGGTGTGGAGCTGTATGACTACATCGTGTGTGTGTGTGTGTTCTTGCAGTACTGCCCCGGTGTGGAGCTGTATGACTACATCGTGTGTGTGTGTGTGTTCTTGCAGTATTGCCCCGGTGTGGAGCTGTATGACTACATCGTGTGTGTGTGTGTTCTTGCAGTACTGCCCCGGTGTGGAGCTGTATAACTACATCGTGTGTGTGTGTGTTCTTGCAGTATTG